CCTCATCAGAGTCTACCACAGCAGCACTCTTTGCACCTCTCTTCAACTTCTGAGCCTTCCTCAATGCTGCATAGAGTGCTGCTTTTTCTGTGGGTTTCCTCTTCCACTTCAATGGCACTGTGGCAATTTCCTCACAGTTCATCAATTGCACAAGGACATTAGCTGGTGAAGATGTTGTGTTTGATGCTGAGGGACTGTGTTAAGAACCATGCTCAAGGGAGAGAGAGACTGACTCAGAGGGGCTTGGCCTCAGCTCATATACTGTGCCCCTTACCCAAGTATGTGCCCTTCATTTCAGAGGAAGTCCGATGATGGTCTGATGAAGTCCAGAGGACTTCAAGAGGAGTGTGGGAAATGTCTGGAGGAGTGTGAGAGAGTTCCGGAGGAATGCAGGAAGTGCTCAGGAGAGTTCCCACTACAAGGTAATACTTCTACAGGAAACAGGATGGAAGGGTAGGAGGTCCAGAGGTATGGAGGACAGGATGTCCGAGGGTTAGGAGGATAGGATGTCCAAAGGACAGGATGCCTGGAGGTATGAGGGACAGGATGTCTGGAGGTCCAGAAGGAATAGGGGCTACATTGGATGAAGTCCAATGTAGAAGCAAACAGAGGTAGACTACCCTTAGGTAGAGTTGGAGAGGCAGGAAGTGGACCAAAGTCTAGAGAGAGGGTAAGTGCCAGAAAGGCAAGACTCCAGCCTAGGGAAGCAATCCCTAGACTTGGGACAGAGACATAGGGGACAAATCCAAAGGTCCAGAATTCCAGCCTAGGGAATCCCTCCCTAGGCCTTATGGAAAAGGACAAAACTCAGATGGACTGAAGTCCAGAAGATGATTGGGCAGATCTAAGGTGATATTCAGACTGAGGACTCTACTGTAGTTGTACAGGGGTTATATACTGGAGGATATCTGAGAGGATCAGTAAGCAACACAGTAAGGCTATGTATGAGCATGTGGAAACATATTAGTAAGTAAGATGGAACATAAGTAAATGAACTCGGAGATGAAACTAGTACAAGGATCAATCAGCAAGGCAGAAATAGAGATAACCAAGAACTGGAAAGGCAGAGATGTCTAAATGGGGATAGGTGCAGGATCTCAGACAGAGGGTGGGAATAGGTCTGGAGATAGTAACAGTTAATATCTGGAGGTCTGAAGATCTGTGGATCCAGAAGGCAAGGCAGAAACAGGACTGAGACATATGAGGTGGTGGATGTAGTCTGGAATCCAAGAGGAGGTAAAGTCTGGATGTCTTGCTGGATGGAATGTGCATATGGTGGACAGGATAGGGGTGTACAGATCAGGCTAGTAGTGAGGATCTGGAGATCCAGAGCTCAGGGGTAATTCTGTAGGAGTGCTAATCCTGCTTCAATATGGAGCACACAGTGGAAGGGGATCTGGGAATGAGTTGGAGGTGGGGTCTGGTGTAGAGACTCGCACCTCTGTATGCCTGTAGAGCCCTATATTGCGATGTATCTGCATACAGTTCACAGCATGAACTCATGGCATCATTCCCTATATCATCCCTTCACTCAGCCTATACATGCATGATCTTCCCATGCATCGCGTGACATGCATGCTACTCTCCCACGATGCATTCCTGCACGCATCCCATGTGCTTTCCTGCACTTCATCACCCATCATCCAGGAGCATACATCCATTGTCCAGCAAGTACTACTGGCACATTTTTTGCATTTATTCTTATCATGACACCATATTCCATCATGGACCCTTACTTACATATACCTTCTTCATTCCTGCGCCTTACTTGTGTCAGCTCCACATCGTGGGAATGTGCTTAGTTGCCTTTTGCATGATAGCATTCGCATTTTTGGAGCTACCACTTAGTTGCCAGTTAGTATCCCTTAGCATCCCTCAGTATAGTGCACACTTTTTTGAGCCATAGTCAGTAGCATTTTTGACAATCACACTCTATCATCATCACATTCGTCATCCTCACATCCATTAGTATCAGTCATCATCTTCCCCTAGTCCCCATCACATTCCTAGCCCTTTGCGCACTTTTGCCTATTAGCATGCGACTTTCCCACGCTTCGCGCATCCTACCACTCTCTGCGCGCGTGACTTTCCCACGCTTTGTGCGACCTGTGGATGTGTTGCACTTGCTTCCCCTTGGGTCAAACGCACTTGCCTTTGCAAAGTATAGCAGCCTAGGCAGAGCTGAGATGACCACACACATACTCTGACTTGGTATTCCTTTTTGTGCCATAGCTTAGTAGTTGATTCCTTCACCGGAAATAGGTCTGGAAAGCGTGGGAATATTATGGGATCTATGTCTGGCATACAGGATATGACAGACTGCTGGTTGGTGGCTGAGTGTTGGGTAGAAGAGGTTCCATGTGTGACCTGCTAGGTGTGGTGAGCAGAGAAGATGGTGTGAAGATGATAGAAGGGGGGGCTGAAAAATAGCAGAAAGTCAGTAGTAATAATGTACACAGATAAATATCTACCTTGAAGCACTGGATCAATGAGATCATCAGTGATCTCACTAGTATGAGGGGTTGTATTTGAGACATTGTTGCGAGTGGGTGTTGTATGGTCACTAGATGGCCTGTGTCATATCCCACAATCCAGACCCACATTCCATCATATTCCCACGCCTTCTGAGCCTACGTCCGGACCACACTTCATATCCAACTCATTCCCAGATCCCCTTCCACTGTGTGCTCCACACCTTAGCAGGATCGACTATGCTCCGGATTTACCCCTGAGCTCTGGACCATCAGATCTCCACTGCTAGCCTGAACCATAACCCCCTGTCCCATCCACCCTATGTACACTCCATCCAGCAAGACATCTGGACTTCACCTCGTCTTAGATTCTGGACTCTATCCACCTTCTCATATCCTGGTCCTGTATCCACCTTGTCTTCTGGATCCCCAGATCTCCGGACCTCCGGATATTAGCTCTGGACCTATTCCCACCCTCTGTCCAATATCCTGCACCTATCCCCATTTAGTCATTCTCTGCTTTCCGGCTTTCAGTTACCTCTTCTTCTGTCTTGCTTATTGATCCTTGTATGAGTCTTCATCTCCAAGTTCATTTACTTATGTTCCGACTTACTTACTAATGTGTTTCCATATGCTCATACATAGCCTTGCTCCTTTGCTTACTGATCCCCTCAGATATTGTTCAGTATATAACCCCTGTAGATACTCCTGTAGTTCCCTAGTTTGAATATCAACTTAGACTTGCCCAATCCTCTCTTGGACTTTGGTCCACCTAAGTCTATCCTACCCATCAGGCCTAGGGATTGATTCCCTAGGCTGGAGTTCCGCCTTTCTGGCACTTACCCTCTTTCTGGACTTAGGTCCAATCCCTGTCTCTCCAACTCTACCTTAGGGTAGTCCACCTCTGTTTGTTTCTACATCAGACTTCATCCGATGTAGCCCCTATTCCTTCCAGACCTCCGGATGTCCTGTCCTTCGGACGTTCTGTCCTCCTAACCCTTGGACATCCTGCCCTCTGTACCTTCAGACATCCTGTCCTTTGTACCTCCGGACATCCTGTCCCTCTGTCCTCCGTCATCCTGCCCTCCTGTCCTCCTGTCCTCCTGTCCTCTGGACCTTCGGACCTCCTATCCCTCCATCCTGTTTCCTGTAGAAGTATTACCTTGCAGTGGGAACTCTCCTGAGCACTTCCTGTGTTCCTCCGGAACTCTCCCGCGCTCTTCCGGATGTTTCCTGTGCTCCTCCAGAAGTCCTCTAGCGCTCTCCAGCAGAGTAGCCAGCCTCTGGAAGTCCTCCGGACTTCATCAGACCATCATCAGACCTCATATGAAATGAAGGGCACATACTTGGGTAAGGGGCACAGCGTATGAGCTGAGGCCAAGCCCCTCTGAGTCAGTCTCTCTCCCCCTTGAGCAACATGGTTCTTAACAGCCTGGTGGATTCTGTTGATGCAGGCAATGATGATGCAGGGATGGGATGAATATCTGTGTGGTCAGCAGAAGCACTGCCATCATTGTCATGGCTCTCCTCTGGTTCTTTATCTACCTTATTCAGGGTCAAGATCTCACCCACTGTCATGCATGGTATGGAGTTCATACCATGACGTATATAAGAAGAAGTATAGAAGGAGATGATTAGGAGAGTGTATGAGGATATATTTCTCACTTAGGAGCTTAGTCATCTATTTCCCTTTATTTATTTACTTGTATTTATAGTTTCAGCCACTTGATTACATCAGTGAACCACTCAGATATGTCTGTAAGCATGTCATGTGACTGGTAATATTCTGATTTGTAAGGATTTTTCCATGACTTATCATGTTTTGTCATGATTTGTCATGCTTTGTAACATTTTGCAGTGCTTTGTAATATTTTACTCATGTACTTTAGTAAGCAGCTGATTCAGCACACCAAAAGGCTTGGTTTGTAAGCATATTCTTACCAATCCAGTGATGAGTCATTGCTTAGTAAGGATGGTTTCTAATATGTATATAAGGACTCCATTCTCACATAATCAACAAGTTTTTCCTTCTTCTTTCTTGTCTCAAACCATGAGATTCATAAGATTTGAAGTGCAGGAGTTTTCCCTCTTTCTGTCTCAATAGTGTGAGATTACAAAGAAAGTGAAGGCCTTGAGATTGCCTTTGAAAACTATAGTATTTCTAGTCTAGATTGGTTGTATACTATCTTACAGGGATTACCTATACAACAGTCTATCGTATTTGATTCAGCAGAGGTCCATATTACCTACTAGGTTTAAGTTAACCTGACAAATATATACTTCCCTTTACTATCAAGAAGTGATCTAGCAAAGAAGTAATTTATTACCCTTTGGCCACCCACAAACAACACATTATTAACCAAGAAGTAGAAAATCTGTTGACTGTGAACTTGAGGAGCTGGCACCTTAGTCTTATTGAAGTACAATTGTGATAGTCATTGTATTTCACCTCAACTTATATAAGACCCTCAAGTAAGAAGACACTGCCTTGATGCATCTCATCCGCTCATCAGCATCCTGTCTCATAATTCAAACAAACTTGCACTTCCTATCTGAAACTGCCTGTGCAAGAGCCTCTAGCCATTCAACTCCACCTTTCAGATTGCTGGGGTTACCCCATTCAGTGTGGCACCACCCAACCAGCTTGACTAGATGCTCTTGAACCATGCACTCATAGCAGACAAACTCTAGAGTTGCATTTGTGTTCTTGGTAACCTCAACTATTGAAATAGATTAGCAGACTATCAATCAAAGGCTAAGAAAATTTATACCTAGACTCTCATTTAGACCACTTCATATTCCTTGCTTGGCAGCCAATTTGTGGTCTGTATAACTCATAGACAGAACTAAAAATCTGCATTAGTTTACAAGAAAGCATGTGGATACTGAAAAATCTTACTATTTCATGGTGCAAGCCCAGCAAGCATGGTGGACTCCATCTTGATGCCAAGTTTCATCAGATCCTCCCACAGAAGTGTATGAACAAAGTGAGAAACAATGTCACTCATAAGGTGTACTTTTGGCAGCATGTTGATGTTTGGTGAACTTTGAATGGTGACAATTAACATTTCCATGCCCACATGTTCCTTCAGCACTTCAGCCTGTAATAAGACAAGTCAGATTTGAAATCTCAAATGAAGAACATTTAGGACTGACCTCACTGACCATGGCTGCAAAGCTACTATTTACCTCAGTGAGATGAGTACAAGAGGTTATATTTAGTGGCTTGCTCCATCCTGATGTTTTGATCTTTTTGAATTCCTCCACCATTTCTGTGTGCTGCTTGAGTGTCAGTTAGTGATATTTGCTTGTCTCCTTAGTGATGGCACAAAGGTTGGCTCATTGGCCTAGGTCTTTATCAATTGGCAATCAATCAGTTGAGTCTATTCTATGGCAAGTTGGCAACAGAGAACACACCAGCATTGAATTTTCCACTTTTGAAATGCAGAAAGACAGACCATGCACTTGTCTTGTTGTGCTGCTTTCTCCATAAGGCCAAACCAATGTAAAACTTTTCCAGATATCATCAATGGCTTCTGCCAAATCTGTGGCCTGTTCATCAATATATGTTAGTATGTTGTCCACTTCAGTATCCTCATCTGTGCACTTTTCATGTTGTTGGGCCATCAAAGCATGTCTTGCTTCCTGAGTCAGCTTTGGACCCTTTTTGTGTGCATGGTTTCAACCTATGATGCACCACCTGCTACTGAGGAATACTGCTCTAACCATGGCAAAAGAGGTAGGGTAGTCTCTGAGATAAAATTCATTTGTGTCAGTGAAAAATTACAATGTAAATAACAGCAAAGCGATCAGTTACTGTCACCCAATGTGTTCCAGTCCTCCCACATTGCAGCCAAGATTTGACAGACATTGGACTTAGAACTAATACTGCCCCTCTTGGCTAGCTTGGAAGCCCACCTATCAGGAACATATGAATTGAAAACTTCACAGCAAACATTGTGAAGGGTGTCACTGTAATTCAAATTCTCCAGTGTGATGCAAGTTTTCAGACCAAAGGGCAGAAGAGGTTTTCCTGGAATGGAATATGATGGTGAAAATGATGTAGGAGGGGATGTGCTACTAGATGGTGCCAGTATTGACCCCAGCTGTGATGGTGAAAGGAAAAGTGATGCTGAATGGTTCTTTGAATGTGTCAAGGGAGTTGACAAGCTTACTGACAAAGTGCTTGCAGACATGCATGAGGGCAGTGGTGGCTTTGATGGTGTTTGAGCCACATGAAATGTCCTGGAGGTTGAACAAGCTGGAGTAACAGTAGGTGTAGTGTATGGTTCCAAAGGGTTGACCCTGACTTGCATAGCCTCATGAGCTAATGGAGAGATTAGGTGGGTTGGCAAATTGTCCCTGAGTGTGAGGTGCTGGAGCTGGTCACCCTACAAACCAATATTAGTCATATAAATTTTAAGGCAATCTCACTTACAAGATCAAGAGTGTGTGATGCAGAGGCACTCTCACTTATGAGATCAAGTGTGTGTGATGGAGGGTGCCTAGATAATGATACCTGTTAATGGATCCACTGAATTGATGGAGTTGCAGAAGAGGTGGACAAGAATGGCACCATTGAGTCCATAGTTCTTTGAGTGGAAATGACTCAATCAAGGCAACCAAAAGGCTGTCCAAGGATTTCAAAATCAGATAAGTGAGAGCCACTGGAAGGTAATGGAATGAGAGGCAGGGAATCATAGTCTTGGACATCTGATGCGGTGCGCCTGAACTCCTGCTTCCATCCATGTGTGAGATGGGCTTCTCAGAAAGACTGCACAACAGGTAGAGCACATCTCTCAGTAAACATCTATGTGATTTCTGTGATGTGTTGATGGCATTGTAAGGGCTCAGCAAGGAGCTTTGGATTGAGATACAGCAACACAGAAAGATCTTGAGGTTGGAGGTCTGTTAATGGTGCTGTTGCACCTGGGTGGTGTAGGCAGAGTGTAACACTACCAGACAGGTGGTCAAGAATGGTGCACTGGAAAAAAACAATTGAATCATGAACAGGAAAATGAAGACACAACATACCAGGTCATATATCAATTTTCATACTCAAAACAAATGATTCACTCTCTCTCATGAGGCTGCTTGTTTATCAGTGCTTGTCATGCCCTTGAAAGTGTTGCTAAGGTAGTGCTGTTTTGTTAAGGAACAGAAACCTCAGTGTGAAAGACACAACCCAACTGGACACTTGATAAAAGTACTCAGCCAGTATAATGGTCAATGCTCTGCCTAGCTGCTACACCTGCAAGCAAGAACATTCAACCCAAGGGAATCAATGGACTAGGCTCAAGCTCAAGAGATAAAATGAGTGAAAGAGAGACACTTCAGGCCAAAGACAGAAAACTATGTTCCAGGAGCTATCTAGTGAGCTGAGAAGCTACAACTAGGAAGCTACAACTAGGGGATGCTACTAAATAACCCAAGTGAATGGGGAGCAACCAAGAACTGGAGACAAGGGAAAACTGAGTAGTGACTGTAGAGTCCTAGGTAAAGGGAAGACAATTATGTAGGCAGTAAAAATGCGAACATAACCTAAGGAAAGTAACAACAAGAGAAGTATAGTAAAAACTACCATTTGCAGGCTAGAGTCAATATGATTGTCACAGCAGGACAAGTGAAAAGCATTCACAGAGTGGAGATGATCCAGTGGTGCTGAACTTCTACTGCAAGAGTGGGATCAGATGTATGAAGCTGTGTGATTACCTCTGGGAAATGAATGGCATTGTCTTGAATGCTCATGCAAAGTCATGTGATCTCAACATTGCAGTGCACAATCTCCTCCTTGCATCATTGCAGGTCGAAGTATTTTGCAGACACTTGGCAATTGCGAGGAATTGCCCAAAGTTTGTCTAGCAACTGATTATCCATGTCTCGAAGGAGATCAAATTCAGCAAGCTAGGAGAATTCAACTACCTGCTCCTATGTAATTGGTAGTCGGGGAGGATCAAGTTCCACTGTGAACTTGTTGTAGTGATTTAGTGCATTCCAGATTGCAGTCACATGAGTCTTCAGTGCTTTTGCAATCTGTGTTCAAAGCTTATAACCTGAAAAAAACATATGTCAGAGCGAGCCCCTTCAGTGACAAACTCTGTATTATATGGGTCACCCAACCTATATAATATCCCATATAAGATGGGCCAGCAGACTATGGGCTGATGTTATGTATATCCTTGATGTTGATGGGTGGGCTGGGAGGGATATTATTTCTGATGGGATGGGTGGGCCCATCTATGCTGATGTTGTAAATATCCTTGATGATGGCAGATGGGCCAGAAGAAATATTATTACTGATGGAGATGGGTGGGCCCATCTGGGCAGTATGTAGAGTAAGATAGACATATATTATAGACAGCTGGGCTGAAGAGAGATGTATGGCAGATATTATTATATGGATGGGTGGGCTGACATATTAGTACTATTTTGTAGACAGGTGGGCCAAGATGGGGGTATATTACATAGACAGGTGGGCCGATGGGGTGGTAAAATATTTATTATATATATGAGTGGGCTGAGGTGGGGGTATATTAGATACACAGGTGGGCCAATGGGGCAGTGAAATATGTATTATATAGATGGGTGGGCCAATGTAGGGGGATGTCATATAGACGGGTGGGTGTCATATCCACATATCTGGATCTCAGATCCAATCCATATCTCATCTCCAATCTGATTCATATCTTATCCCCCTCCAACATCTCATCATCCAATCTGCCTACTCATCTGGTCCAGTCCACAATTCATCTGAATCCATAACCAGCACTTGTCTCCTTTCAGCAATCCCCTGACTCCAGTATTTCGGTTATCTGTATATCCATCCTGCTCACTGATCCATTACCTATGCTTCATTTCTGTTTCATTATTTGTGATCCATTTCTACTTACCAATAGACTATCCATATGCTTCGTACATAGCCTTGGACCCTGCTGATTGATCATTCTGTTAGATACCTATAGTATATAACCTCCTGTAAATCTCTGTAACACCTCAGTTCAAATATCAACTTAGTTCTGCTCATTCCTGTCCTCCAGACCTGAGTATCTCTACTCTCATCACCCTCCAAGACTTAGGATTGATTCCTATAGTCTATCCATATCCACCTCTGTCTATGACAGTCCACTACCATTAGTTTCTAGTCTGGACTCATCCAGATTAGCCTTACAATACTTATCCTGTATCTGGCAGTCATCCAGATCTGCTACGATACTTGTCCGACCCTCTGGATGTGTTAGTCTTATCTTCCTGAAATAAGGGGCAATACTTGAGTAAGGGGCACAGTGCATGAGCTGAGGCTGAAGCCCTTAGGATCCATTTAGCCTTGAGTACAACCTTAACAGTGGGCCCAGATACATATCATTTAGATGTATGGGCTGAGGTATTGGTATAATACCCCTATATGAGTGCATATACCTACCATTGACCATGGAAACCCAAAACCCAAAACCCTGAATACACCATGTCTGACATTCACCAAGTACCAAAACCTGACACCTGAAACCCAAAACTCGAACATCAAAACAAACTTCAAAACTCAACACTCAAAACTTATATATTTTTACAAGTTTTGAGTCTCAAATCACCAAGTACTGAGTACTGAAACCTGAAACTTGCACATCAAAATTCAAAACTCTTCACCATGCCAAGTACCAAATGCCAACACCTGATGTTTCATGTTGGGTGGGTCCAGGTAGTTGTTATCATATACACAGGTGGGCCCAGGTAAATAGTGCAATAAACATAACTGGGCTGAGATAGTTGGATAACATATGAATCAGTGTGCTGATGTAGGCACCAGAGAATTGAGCACATGGAGTACATACCCACTATATGAGTGCATATACTGTCATATGCCATTCCAGACTCTCAACTCTAAATCTGCTTCTCTGGATATCTGGATCTGAGATCTGGATCTCAAATGATCTGATCTATCTTTATATTCCTTCTGGAATCCAAACCCTATATCAGCACCCAACCCCATTTAGACTTCCCCTGTCTCTGGACTCTGGTTAACCATGTTTCCCTTCTGATTATTGATCTGTTACATACATTTCATTTCTGGTGTTCATTATTTGTGATCTGTCCTACTTACTAATAGACTTTGCATATGCTTCATACATAGCCTTTATGTTTGCTGATTGATTCCTATATGACACCTACAGTATATAAACCTCCTGTAACTCTCGGAAACACTCCAGTTTGAATATCATCTTAGTTCCTGCTCATTCCTGTGTCCTCTGGACTTGAGATAAGTCTCTTGTCATATTCCAAGTCTTAGGATTGCATCCTAGACTACATTCCTGACTCTACCTTAAGGTAGTCTATCCTCTGTTAGTTTCTAGTCCGGGCCATCCAGATTAGTCTTATCTGCTTGCCCAAGTAACATCTGGACATCCATTGTCCGCCCTAGTCAAATCCCGGAAACTCCAGATGACTGTTCTAGCCCCTGGAAATTAAGGGCACATACTTGGAAAAGGGGCACAGCATATGAGCTGAGGCCAAGCCCTTGTGATCTGACTCCCTTGAGCACGTGACTTTAACATATACCTACCATCGACCACCAAAGCCCAAAGCCTGAAAACCTGAATACACCATGTCTGACATTCACCAATCACCAAGTACCAAAGCCTGAAAGCCCAAAAACCGAAACCCAGTGTGCAACATATCCATTTTTCATTCACCATAAATCACCAAGTCTTGAAACCTGAACACCCAAAACCTGAACACCCAAAACTCCAAACTTGAATCTCACAAAAATGTATATAACATGTAAAAAAAATTCATTACACAAATCACTAAGTGTTGAGTGCTGAAACCTGAAGCCTGAAACTCAAGACTTGAAACCTGAGATGTGAAAACCAAATACCAAATACCAAATCTTGAAAAAATGTATATAACATGAAATTATTTTATTTCATTACACAAATCACTGAGTGTGGAGTGCTGAAACCCAAAACCCAGTACTACTGACTTCTGTCATATCCTGTATGCCAGACATAGATCCCATCATATTCCCACGCTTTCCAGACCTATTTCCAGACCCCATATCCAACTCATTCCCAGATCCCCTTCCACTGTGTGCCAGACCCTTCAGTCACTTCTACTGCATAACCTGTTGATAGGACATGTACATTGGCCTGCAAAACCAGGTGTACAGGACACTGGCCAGTCTATGCACTTACTGTATAGGCCGGTCATGCAGAAGCCTTGTAGGCCAATGCCTCATATAGAGAATGTTACAGGGTTAGCTGGTGGACTTCTGCACTATGGGTGGATTAGGCCTGCTGCCTCTGCATTTTGTGGAAGGTGGTCAGCTGGCTGAACATTGCATTTGAACTGATCGGCCAGCCTCCCCATGCAATCTGTAAGATAGGGGCGGCCAATGGGCTTCTGCTCTGTGGTGCATTAGGCCTGCTGCCTCTGCATTTTGTGGAGGGTGGTTGGCCAGCTGGCCATTTCATTTGAACTGATCGGCCAGCCTCCCCATGCAGTCTGTATGACAGGGCTGGCTGATGGTGCAATTTGTGAAGGGTGGCTGGCCGGCTGGCCATTGCATTTGAACTGATCAGCCAGCCTCCCCATGCAGTCTGTAAGATAGGGGCGGCCAATGGGCTTCTGCACTATAGTGCATTAGGCCTGCTGCCTCTGCAATTTGTGTAGGGTGGTCAGCCAGCTGAACATTGTATTTGAACTGATCGGCCAGCCTCCCCATGCAGTCTATATGACTGAGTCGGCCTGCATGCTTCTTACTTGAGTAAGCAGTCCAGAAATATTTTTGGTTACATGAAGTTCATGATGAGCTTATCAATTGATGTATATAGTTTACTCTACTACATAATGACTGTAAATATTGTCTATTATTTGAGCCTCACTCATTTACAATGTTCATCTTTTATGTCAATGAGTGAAAGGAGACCAGTCATGGTGCTCTATCCTACATAGGTCAGCCTGCATTTCTGGACTGGCCACCCTAGCTTGTGACCCTATCCTCCAACTGGCCAACCAGGGGATGCAGTCTGTCTGTCATGGACAGCCACCACTGTGATTTCCCATTGTAGATGGGCCAGCCTGAATTTGCAACCTGCAGATCTAGGCCGGCTGCCCTTGTTTGTGACTCTAACACCAACTGGCTGGTCAGGGGATGTGGTCTGTATGGGATGGACAGTCACCCATGTCACATGGGCCATCCAACCTTTGCAATATGTATTTCTGCACCAGCCATTACAACATTTTGGAGAGGGATGTGTACCCTCATCTAGCACATTACAAAGCCATCTCCAATATCAACTTGTTGTACTCCATTTTCCTTGAAAACCTCTTGTGCCCTCAGCTGCAAACTCAGCCCACATGACAGCCTGCTTTTCAGCATATGCCTTATGTCCATTCTTGATACTCTCTCCTGACCTCCTTCTCCACATTGCTGGTTCTGAAACTAGCATACTGTCCAATACATTTCATGCTGCACCAACTTCAGCTCTTCACTCCAACGATCATACTGTGCTTTTGCTTTCAACCAATTCACCCAATAAACTAGGAATGGGGAACATAAGCTTGTTGCATTGATAAAAATCAGATAAGATTTAAACTCACACTCATACATCCACTCGCTCTTCTGACTATTAGTCGCACTGTTGATTCTCCAAAACCAAGCCAGCTTATCAGAACCCTGGCCATGCCTATTTTCCTCAGTGACTTCTTTGCTCACTGCAAGGTCATCAGCCTTTAGAGATTGATAGGATGTCAATGTATCAGAGTCAGCCCCTAATTGTTGCATTGCTGCCCTTGATCAACAGTATTCTTGAGCATGTTTGTTGATGGCCAGAGTCATTTTTTGAAGTTCCTTCGTTGATCTAGTGCCCCAGTGATGGACCGATTTGTTGGAGTGCAATTTCTCTTGAAATACCACAGATCTGTCACCAAGTGCTTGACGAAGCTTCTCCAGGCAGTCATTTGCTTGACCCTTTTGAAGCTCTAGTTCTTTTTGCTGTAATGCCATGATAACATCATCCATGATGGCATCAGATGCAACCCATGACAGCATCCAAAGTTCTGCAACCTCTGCAGCTGAGTCAGCATTATCACTGAGGTCCAAAATACTGTCTTCCTCCAGAACGTCGATTCCTGGAAAATTATATCCATCAGCCTTCTCCAGGCACAGTTCAGGGTCATCCTGTTGCAATCCCTCTCTGCCCTCCAATTCCATACCATTTGTAATCACCATTGCAGTCTCATAGAATTTATTAATCCATGACAAGAGCTTCTGTCTTTTTTTTTCTATCATGATTTTCTGAGAAGCAGTTGGATCATCTGACTGTTGTCTTATAGAAGATCTCAGGGCATCTCTAGTAATACAATTTGAGTCAATGACAATTTGTAAATTTGAATATCTTACTGAGCATTTTCAATATTCATACCCTTGATCAACCATGCAATGGCCCCAGTCCGACCAATGGTGGACAGTCCATTTTCAGTCAACCTTAGCCTTATTTCAGCCATAGTTGGAGCTTTTGATGATTTACAATCAGCAATAACTAAAAGTTCAATTTCACCAAACCTACCTTTATCCATTCTAAGCTGATAGATGTCAAGACGCTCGCCACAGTCAAGAGCTGCTAGTTCAGCTTCCTTCTTCCATTTCTGGACATCAGCCAGATCAAGTGAATCTGTCAATTCTTCATATGGACCCTGAGTGTTATTAACACCCTGTACAGCATGATGATACTTTTTTAGTAATGATTTGACTATTTAAATGCCTTGTTAGTCAAAGTTAACATTTTTGAAGTAAAGGGGACTTGCCAATTCCAATAAGCTTCCTCCAATTAGAATCCCTCATATGGTCGTCCAAGACTTCCTTTCTGTGAGAGAGAGTCATGGATCTCATAGTTGGAGAAATCTTGTTAAATGGAGCCCAGAGGGTCTCCAAGATTTCTCCATCAACATGACCAGCTCCTGTAATAAAATTGAGGCTGAATCTGGCAAAGCATGGTAGCTTATGGGCACTCAAATGAAACTTGCCAATTGCTGGCAAAATTTTTATTGATTGAGGAACAGACAGGTGATAGCTCTGATCCACCCATTCATGGAAGTGGATGCTCCACTGGCATGCAACATCATAGATTATAAGTGCACTGCTGATATCTTCTGATGGATATTTCAATGCATTGCAAATGGAATAGTCCATGTTCATTTGCCTGACCACTGTCAGCACAAAGTTGTAATACAACAATGAAACTACATACCATTTGCCCTTCTGAAAGTCTACTACAGCATGAGGAACAAAATATCCATGCCTAGCACATGCTGTTGCCCCAACACCTGTAGCTCTTAGGTTGCTTCTCTGAACATTGGCTGCATTCACAGCACAGTGATTGCTACAAGATGATTTCTGAGATTATATTAGACAACATTTCCAAAGAACATGTCATGAAATACTTGCCTCTTTCCCTTCAACAGATTCTGTTATGTGAGTTTCATAAGGTCCCTCTGTTACCATGTATCCCTTTCCATCCACCAGTGAAACATCATCTTCTGGAGTCTTCATCTTCATATGTTGCGCTGTAAAATTTTCATCGACAACATATCTTTGTGTTACCAACCAACTAAATCCACCAATTAGCTCATCTAATAATTATTACTGACAGAACTTACTTGTCATAGGAATCCTTCCAAGATGAGGGTAAGTTGATGCCAGGTTGGGGACATGTTGGACAATAAAGAGCTAAATCCCCTGGGCCAGTAGATCTGTCTGTCCTTGTGTCCAAAACCAAACCATATTCTATTCATCAAATCCCTCCATATACGGGACACCCACATTAGTTCACGGTAACGATCCTGTTTTATCATGTAAGCCAGGAGTTCAATAATAAAGAAATTGCTCACAGGTATTTTATGAGGGAAAGCATTGTTGGTGAAATGACATAGCTTTTGATAGAAACTCATAGCTGAGGTTTTGCACTCCAAAGTGTCTATGAGGAAGTTATCCAGAACGTTGAAAGTGAAAGCAGATTGAGGGCAAGTGATGCTGGCAGGAAATAACCTCGCTTTTAGGAGATGTAGGTGTCTGTCCATCTCAGCTCCAGGACACTGACACCAGGATACATGGTGTGAGTAAACTCCAGTGGAATGCACAATAACCAGGTCAGATAATCCCAACTGAGTTTCATAAATAGTATCCCCCTCTCCTTGTCCAAATACATCTTCCATGGCTCCAAGATCTGACCAGGGTGATGGGTTTGAATGCTGCCACCAAATTGGGACAAGGATGTCCTCCATGGCCAAGATGCATTATATACCCATGGTCTCATAGGGTAGTGGACTGGTAGAACTTGCCATTCCAAAGTTGAAGGTTGTGGAATGGGTTTGCTGGTGGGCTTTAACTGCACATGAGGGACACCAAGCATGCTCTCCTGAGCAGGATAGACACCTAATGAGTCCCTCCTCTCCTCCACAATCCTCACATTGCCCACCATTGATCTGCTGTTCCAATCCCAACAACACTGAAATATATTCATCCCTCCAAGGCAGGTACTCCTAAAGGAAATCATTTTGAGTCTGCAATGTTGGCCAATTTTGGAGAATAATGAATTCAACAGAACTCACTTTAGTTTTTCATGAATACCATTTGAGCCTCTTGTACCAAAATCACCATATATCTCTCTGTCATATTCCACCAGAGAATAATCTTCAATATTTTGTTGGTGTTTTTGTTTTGATGGTGAGACTGGCTCTATCTCACTGTCAGAGTCTTCATAGATAATTGAACCATTGGCTTCTCTCCATGTACAGTGGCTCAAAAAACTGTCCATATTTTTCATTTTTTACTATTTACAATATTGTGTGAGAATACATAAAGACCTCAGTGACATGCTGATACCATATTGTAGTGCTGCTTCAGGGCTTTGGATTGAGCACCACATTGTGAGAATCAGAGGAGATATGGTGGAGATACAAGGCTTACAAAATCATGACTCATGCGGACAGTTTTTTGAGCACATATTAAAACTATATAAATCATCATTTGACACCAGAACAATCATGCCACCATTAAATAAATTATAAAGTGGTGTCATATGTCATTTTAAAACCATATCTAACTATACAAACCAAAAATTTCCATATGTCATGGTTATATTCACCATGAAAGCCACCCCCCCTGCTCAAAGGGATAATATCCTCTCTCTTTCCTATTCTGGCCTCTCTGCTTGTCAAATTTCCTCTAGAACTGGAGTATCCAAGTCCACTGTGGCCAAGTTCATCAAAGAAAGTCACACAGACAAGGAAAACTTCTGTGAAGGGTCCATCCAAGCTCACCTCTACTGATAGGAGGGCTATTATTCAACATATCACTACAGGAAAGGCTGATAATGCTGTCCAGGTCACCTATTACATCAATTCCACCATCACATTCCCTGTCTCTTCACACACTGTGAGAAACATTCTCAAGACAGCTCATCTCAGGTCAGTAACAAGGAAGAAAAGGCTCTCCTCTCTATCACACATAAACAGAGATGACTAACCTTTGCCTTAGCCCATCAGAATTGGATTACATGGACTGGAAGCATGTTATATGATCATATAAGACCACAATAAATAGGATTGGGTCAGATGGCAAGGTATATATGTGAAAAAAGAAGGGTGCTAGTCCTCTCTGCATATGTGTGATAGAGAGGAGAGCCTTTTCTTCCTTGTTACTGACCTGAGATGAGCTGTCTTGAGAATGTTTCTCACAGTGTGTGAAGAGACAGGGAATGTGATGGTGGAATTGATGTAATAGGTGACCTGGACAGCATTATCAGCCTTTCCTGTAGCGATATGTTGAATAATAGCCCTCCTATCAGTAGAGGTGAGCTTGGATGGAC